AACAAAAAAACAGTTTAGGTACTATTTTGTAAGGTGAACAACAGGAGTGGGTAAAAAACGAAACAAAAAAAAATATACACTATTGTATCACTACACTTTGTGTGACCGTATTATATCAATACAAGGACACCACACATTAATATTTTGTTAAATACAATTATCTGCCACCACCACTCTGGGGTGAAGCCTTCTGAGGTAAATGGACCAAAGCATAGTGCAGCAGGTGCACTAGCTGCCATCTTCCATTTGTATTTTTTCCTGTGCTTGTGGACCTCCTTCTGCATCTTCTCCTTTTTTAGCATGTAACGGCAGACTAGATCCTTTTGTATGCTCCCTTCAGTTCCTGAAGAATTGCCATCTGGGTGCATATGCTGCCCACAACAACTACAGTACCAATAAATAAATAAAAAAGCTTATACAGTTGCATTTGAAAATTTTCGGAATTGAATGTTAATGTAAGAATCACCGCGGGACACATCCCCATTTCATACTGATGATCACCAAGGCAGGTACCACTGATCTTACAGCACATCATGGCAATTATATGACAAACAGATTAATGCTGTGTTACACTTGAAGTGGACAGCCAAAAATTTGAGATGCCAGTTGGAATTTTCAGCTGGAGTGCTCCCACATGAGTCAGATTTGCCACTCGATTGTTGGACAAGTCACAACAATCCCAGCTTTGCAATGCAAGAGTGGGATTGTTGGAATTGTAGAACTTGTAATCTGTACTCCCACTGTTGTGTATTTGTGACCACTACAACAATGATCCTCTACTCTAAATGGAACAACTGAATGACTACACCTTACTGGAGGCAAAGCTAGGTTTTTTGACTACTGCTACTGGAACAATATTGACTCAAGCATGGTAAAGAAGTACAACAGACTCCAAGAACCAGCAACGGAAGAATAAAACATTTTCATCACTGTCATGTCTACATTAAAACTTTGCAACTTACTTTAACTGTTCATTAGATTATTCACATATTCAACTCTTCGTCAACAAGAAGCAAAACATTTAGCTCACTGCACTTGTGCAGAGAGAGGGGAAAGAAGCCAATAAACATTTACTTGTTTTTTGCCACATTTATTTTGAAGCCAGACTTGTCACACCAATTAAATTCATCAAGGACTAAGCCATGGCCCTGCTCTGCACCCTCTAGAAGACTCACAATCACAGTCCACTAATATTGTCCAGTCCAACCTACAGTCCAGATTCAATGAAGATCTACACTGTTGGAATTTAATAACACTGATTTAATAAAAAGAAGAAAAAAAATCTATTTCTCACCAAACCGCCTCTCATCATCACTTCTTTTGTGCAAATTCAATTTCACACACAAAAGATAAACTTGTATGACACACATGGCTATTTACTGGATAAATTAAAAAGCACGGGCACTAATAAGGAAACATGATTTTCGATTGCTTTCATCCATCCCTTGGCTTTGGAGAATAAAGTAACATCAGAAGAGGCTGTTCCTCGCAAAGAGAATAAAAGCCTCTCTTTTCCAAGCGCAACTTTATTACTTGTATGTAGACCAAAGCAAAGGCTGCGTTGTGAATATCCACAATGCTGCATGATCCTTTTACAAAAAAACCCCATTGCTTTTGTCAGACGTACTGCATGCACCGTGTGTCAAAAAGACAACAATGATAAATAAAGAGAACTGCTGAAAAAGCACGAGAACCGCAAACAGCAGGCTGACGCTATGCTGACAACAAAGACCATCAAAGTCTACCATATCAAACCTTTTGCCGTGTAAATATGCTGTGGTTTGCATTCTGATGTCGTTCGCACACATGCGCATGCAAAACACGCACACACAAAGCAGGATGTGAATAACAAATATGTATGTCTGTAGCCGAGTGTCAACAAGTTTCAAGAACTTGCAGGTATTCTAAAACAAGCCAGAAAACATTTTTATTTATATATTAACATAAGATGGGGCACACTGTTTACCACAACTCAAGAAATAGACATTAATTCATATGGCTGAAAAGTGACAACATTTTTATATCATACTTCTACACAAAACATCTCCAAGCTTCCTCTTTTACATGATGCCCCAATTGTTTGGAAAGCAGTCGCAGCGAAAAAACAGTAACTGAAAGGGAGCTGAATGTATTAGGACAGGGGTGTCAACCTCAAATACACAGTGGGCCAAAATTCAAAACTGGAACAAAGTCGCGGGCTAACATTAATATTTATTGGAAAAAAAAAAATCTTCCTCCAGATATAAGAAAGAATCTTTTCTTATGGACTCAAACAAGTTTTGCTGGAAAACTGAATATGGAACAAGCAAAGCTTAATACTAAACGATATATATATTAGCTGTATAATACCAGTAGGCCAGCTCTAATAGTAATTTGGTATGGCTTCGCGGGCCAAATGTAATTAGGCTGCGGGCCAGAGTTTGACACCTATGTATTAGGACAACCCAAACATGACAGTTGGACCTCCAGCACTCCAATTATACTAGGAGAGTTTAAGAAAGAGTTGACTGAGGTTAGAGGAAGTATGAAATCAAGACCAGATAAGTGACTGGATCACACCAATTGAATTAGTCATCCCATTACAGCTAGGATTTAGAAATCACTTTCACTTCTAATCTAGCAAAGCACTGTCTGAATACAGCGTTGTATCACAGGAGGCTGTAACACAGCCCAAGCTAATATATGCTTTACCAAGACAGCAAGCTGCTGTCGCTCACCTCAACCTCAAACACACTGCAATTGAAGCTAAAGGTGTTATCTTGTATTTTTCCTTTTGTCAACAAACACCATGAAAGACCAAAGTTATATGTGTCTGTGAATACTTTGTGACTTTCCTGTGACCTCAGTCAGAAGAATGTGTCTTGATCCTACTAGGGTAGAATATGTTCCAACAGTCTACTATCTTTTTAACTGGGTCAAAACAAGCAAGCAAGCAAGCAACCCAAAGGATCTAAAAGAAGCAGTCAGCTGGATTATCTGCAGACTCTAAATGAACAAACAGCTCAGGAAAGTCGACGCTGTTAAAAATAAATAAATAAATAAATCAGGTGGTGTTGGAAATAAACTAGCAGAAGAATTTACTTTGTTTACCAATCCACTGGCCTAGAAATTTGCCATACATGGGATTAGAGCCCTCCACACTCACCCTGTGTTCCACAGTACTTACATCAACCATACAAAGCCAGATTCTGCAGTAAGACCACAGCACCGTCTGTGTAAAACTATCAACTCTAGATCACTGTGGTCACTGCTGTTTTCAGTATTTCTCAGACAAGAGTGAGCCATTTAGAACCACATGCACATGCAGATTAAGACATAATCAATTATGACAGTAACACATTATTAAAAAGGGCAAGCAATAGCAAAGTCAACCCTTAGATACTGTTCGGGTCAAATCTAACCAGTTTTGACATGCGACAGCAGTAAAAATGCCCTAAATTCATTATTTTAAAGTTAGCCAGAAAAAGTAGCCACAACATGTAACAATAAAAATTATTCTGAGTTAAATGAGGTTAAACACATGGGAATGCCATACATGCAAGCATTCCTCCCACTACTAATAGTGCAAATATAATTAAATCATTATGGCTGGTTTTCATGTTTTTCCTCCCAAAATGAGTGTTGTAAGACATAAAAATACACTTTCCATTAATCAATCAATTTATTAAATGTCATATATTCTAAATTCCTGTGTCCGACAGACAGGTATGTATCCATTGTATACTGATATGTAGTTTAAAATTTGTTATTAGGGAATTCTTGGCCCAAGTCAAGACTGTACCGGGCCAGACCATGAAGACAGTTCCTGATATTTCAGGAACTATGTCTAACAGATCCTTTATGAGTAACTATAATGCTTCAAAATGGGAAATTAAATACAAGGAAGAATGATCTCATTTTAGAGTTCATGTATAGTACAAAGATCAGACAATGTACCAATTCAATATTTGCTCCATCTTTTGGTTTGTTCATAGATTTTTGTAGCACACCTTTTATTTCACCAGTTGAAGTTTTTATCATGCACATTTCCCCAAGATGGATTTTCCCACCTTCTTTGATTATTTTAAATATTATTTCAAGCAATATGTCCTCTGGATTTAAAAATGTAAAAAGTATTTTACCATTTTTAAATTGCTAAATTTGAGGAGAAGGTGGTGCATTATATCCTCAATATATCCTGTACTTGAGTGGTGACTCATAGCATACGGAGCCTCTATCTGCATCTGTTTTTCACAACTGAAAAAAATATCAGGTTACTTTTCAAAATCAAGTGCTGGAGGGAAATAAGGTGACAGACGAGAGCCAGAGGCAGCAGAGGAAGAGGTCAATGTCCCTCTTCAGTCAAACGTCAGAGCAGAGCTGAACAACAATTTCAAGATGTTCTGAAAATAATGGAAGCTGATTACACACATTAGCAGGATCTTGGTCAGAGGCCAAATCTGTACTCTGCTAGTCTCTCTCTTAGGGGAAACTAAAGCACCGATATGTAAAATTCTTTAAAATGACTGCAGTCATTAAATATTCACCAGCACACTGCACATTTGCACCAGCGAGGGAAACAGGGCTTCACAGCGGACTACCAGAATACTAACACTTCTTTTTCCCTCAGCACTGGCTTTACGTAACAGAGAGATAAAACAAAAGAAAAACAACAAATTCAACCTAAAATGTGACCGGACAGAAGAAGTGCCCCATGATCTCTCTTTTATATGGGGTAAGAGACTGGAGTCAGTCATCATCCTGTTCAGGTTATATGAAGGTAATTATGCAGGGAACATCACTGATATCAAAGAGCACTCCTGCTGATTAGCCATGTAAAATCACTGTAATTAAAACCTAATGAGCATCTCTGATGGACAACTCTGAAGGACATAAACTTACGGTATGCCTACTGACACAAAAGAAAACCCATTGAACTTTGAACACAATGAAGTTAGAGACACACAGTCTCATACCTGTACTGACACATGAAGACAAGCAGTCATTTCTCATAAACTCACCGCGTGCCGTCGGCTTTCCAGCTGACTTTGTATGGATTCTGCTCGAGGAAACGCAAGTTTTGCCTGTCCATGGACACAGGCTGCGCACCAGGAAAACCAGACCTGCAAAAACAGCAACAACAGCCCTTACATGTGTGCCTGATCTTGAGCCTGGCTCTAAACACAGCTTAGAAGATTTTTGGTTGGCTGTTTCGGTAAGCTTACGAAATATCACATTTATTCCATTCAGGATCTTCTATTAATGATTAGGGAGTCAAGTCTTTTCTAGCACATCCCAAAGATTTTCAGTGGGGTTAAAAATAATGTCTCATGCTCTCTGAATGAGTCCTTTGCAATTTAAATCCTGACATCATCACCTTGGACTATGCCTGTGCCATCAGGAAGGGGAAAAAAAAAAAATCAGAGCAAACTTGGTGGTTCAGTATATCCAGGTAGTCAGCTGTCCTAATTTCTTTTGGGCTTAACCTCGACCTGACTAACCCCAGATCATAACACCACCATGCACAGGCTTGTATGGTAGGCACAAGACATGATGGGTGCATGTTTAAATATTTAAGCTCACTAGCAAACTGAAGCCTTTTTTGATTTAGCTTCAGTTTTTTTGGTTGTTTTTTTAAGCTGCGCTGCCGTTTAGTCCCAATCCTTCTTTGCAGAATGCATGCGAAAATACATTTTATTATTGGTGCTTATGATGACATGATTTCAAACTCTTAAATCCTCTCCAACCACATAATGCCTTGGAGAGTTCTTAACCCCATTTTAGTAGTTTCAGCAATATCCTTGTTGTTTTTGTTTTGTTTTGTTTTTTTGCTTGAAGCAAACCAATAATTAGACTCTTCTGAAAGGAGATATCGCATGGTTGTGAAAACAATGTCTTAATACACGGTTGTTTAGAAAGCGAATCATTGCATCAGTTAGGGTTACATCACCTGTTGCTAGCCAAAACATGAATCACTGCAGGAGTCACCCAGAGGAAGCCTCTTACCTTTGCCTAATTACAGTGGTGACTTTTTTTGGCCAGGCAGTGTAGTATGCATACATATGATAGGATACCAACAGGCAGCTGGCAAACCTAATAGTTCTCTCATCAGTTCAAGGAGAACAAGCTGATAATTGCAAATACATCTGAACTATTTGTCTTGAATATTCAATATATTACAGCTGGGATGCAACACTGACATATAACCTCTGACAGAGTCAGTCAAATCTATTGTTTAACTCAAGACCATTGGAAGACATTTTTTACAGAGTTTTTGTGCGCACAAACACAGGTTCCCAAAAACAAATATAATCTCTGCAAAAGCAACTGGATGCATTAAAGAAACACCTCTCAGACACTTTACTTTGTGGCTTAAGTCATAACATAGTTTATGACAACCTAGTGCACTAAGAGAACAACTAACTTTGGCGCTACACACTGAAAAACTTCCTAAACTATAAATATGTGAGGATTTTAGTATATTAGCAAACAAAGACATAACAAAAATAATTTTAACAGCAGGCCATGGAAATCGCAGCATGGGCTGTTTTCTTGCACTGTGACAAGTCACTGCAGTCGAGCTGATGCTCTGCAATTTCATTAAAAAAGCTGCAGCGGCATATTTCTCCAGAATAGCAACATCTATTCCTGACTTTGCCGCCTGTCAGAGAGTGTAAAGATTTTTTTCTCTGGAAAAAAAGGTGATTTAAGACAAATGAGTCACTCATAGCACAGTACAGTACACCCACACATGTGTAAACAGACACACACACTTTCCCAGAGGAAAATAAGAAAGGTAAAAGGAAGGTTCTTACTTGTCCCACTCGGCCATCTCCTGGCACATTCTTTGGATCTCGCCTAACTTGGGTTGTATGGTGACCTGTGTGACGCCTTTCACATTGACACCTTCAAGAAATACTGCACCCTGGGAAGATAAAAGAAGAAAAGCAGAAGGCTAAACTTGGAATGAATTTTAAGAAAAATTTATTCCCTCCTACACAGAGAAGAAAAACACATTGAGTACCGGTGATACTTTTCCAAACAGCTGCCTCTTTGTTTTATGAATCCCTGTGCGAGACAACAGGTACAAATATTAAAACTCCTGCTTTCACTCCTCTCTATTTTGAATGTTATTTTCACTTTAATTATTTCAAGAATCTACATCTCACTCTGGATCAACCCTCTTTTCCCAGTATGAGTGATGGAAACAGATGCAGGGTTTTTCCTGGCTCAATGTAAGCCTGTGGGGGTTGACTACACACTCAAGCACAAGTGTTCTGCATAAAGATATGGCAAAAGGTCTGTGTTACCTTATTTATGAAAAATCTGCAATTCCCGGTTATTTCTAGGGAGCTCATGAACAAAATGCTTGATATCACATAACCATGTGATGATGAAGGTTTGTGCTACACGCTTTAATAAATAGAAAATACTATTTAGTATACTAATAACTTATAAATTATGATTTCTGTTCTGTAGTCTGACAACACAGTATCCAAGGACCTATTAAGAAACTGAAGGGTAAAAAAATACAAATATAAAGGAAAATATTTATTTATTAGTATTACTATTTAATGTGCACATTTTTCACTTCAGCTCGGTTGCTCATACACAACTTTTCACCTTGTGTATGAGCTTCTCCCTGTATAAAGCTAATTACTCACCTTTAAATCTAGGAGGGACAATGTGCATTTCATATTAGGGCTACTGCACATATACATATATTTATCATCTATTCTAGACTCTTGATACGTTCACACCAGATGATCTTCTAATGACCTTGTAAAGGTGAAGTGAATCAGAGTACAGGACATCAGAAACTAAAGTTAAATCAGCATTTTATTTATTTATTTATTTTTTTTTAAAAGGCTTGTCTAATATCACATATAATAGTCATGTGTTTATAAGATCTTGCCTTCTTTCTCCTTTATTTTGCTTTGGTACCTCTGTGCTCTCCTCATTTCTTCTAAGGCTCTTCCAATAATAATGTGTATGTGTTAGTCCCCATAGGGAAATTACTCCTCTGCATTTAACCCATTCACCCAGTCAAGCAGTGGGCAGCCACCAATGCAGCGGCCGGGGAGCAGTGTGTAGGGACGGTACCTTGCTCAGGGGTACCTCAGGGTGGCCGTTCAGTGGAGTCGAACCCCCGACCTTCCGATCATGGGGCAACCACTCTACCTACTGAGCTATCCCTGCCCCCCCAAAAAATTAAACAATTATAAGGAAGTTCTTCTATTAGGGAACAACAGTTTGTTGGGGCATTCACAAAAATTCTGTAAAGTCTTTACATTACAACAAGTTTCTTGAGACAACTACGTCTAGGCAGATTTCTTGTAGGACAAGTCATTTTTTCCCTTGTTGTCTCCTGACTGGCTCTGTAAGTATGATGTACCAGGCAGCTTTGCTCTCGATTGGTCAAAGTAAGCCTGTAATGGACAGATGGTTAATATGGTCCAATATTTTGCCATATATTATTTAATTTTTAGTGTCTGCCTTTTTTCCCCCCACACTGTTCCCAAAGATAACTTCCCAGATGGGTCTGTGTAAAAACCCATCTGCGCGTCAGGTTAGACAAGATGTCTCATATTTCACCCAAAAAAGTCTCTGCGAAAGTTGTTTGAATTTCTGATTGGGTAAAAGGAATTTAAAAACTGCCTTTTAAAAGTTTAAAAATCCAATCAAGTCCGAAACAAACAAAAATAAGTGAAGCACATTTGAGTTGATGAAGACTTTAAATTGGACTGGACACAAAGTTAATCAATGAGTGAAAGAAGTGGAATTAGGTTTGAGCTACAATTGGAAAATTATTTGATTTGAGCTCATTTTTATGAACAAACACTTGTTTGTTCTGGCACAGATTTGTAGGTCTGTAACGCCCTGCTATCAGACACAAAACTTACTTTATAATACTTTATACTAGGGAGTAAGCAAACATTTTGTTTTCAAAGTTAATGTGTTAGAAGCAGAACAAATGAGCAAGCATAAAGATTTTCTTATGCAGATCATGTGAGCAGTTTCCAGTCTGCAGTGGTCACTATCTATCAAAAATGCTCCAAGGAAGAAACAATGATGAGGAGGAATTAACAGTACTGAAAAAGCCAATCACAGTAGCTGTTGGCTCCATTCACACAAAGTGTATTTACATTTCTAGCGAGGTCTAGCAGGTCAGGACATGTTGTATGGTTTCAGAAGAATTTGCCATTATAACTTGCATATTGTGAAGATTTAACTCTTTGAGATAAAGATGCTACAATAATACAGAGAAAACCAACAATCAAATCGCCTCGCCTTTGAGCAAGCACTTTGGCAACAGTGGGAAGGAAAAAAATCTCTTTTAACAGGAAGAAACCTCCATTAGCACCAGGCTCAGAGACATTAGTCTGCCGCAACTGGTTGGAAGCGTTAAGAAGTTGTCAAAATACGGTGGTAAAAAAAATGTAGTAAAAACAATTAGACTGTAATGCAAAAACGGAAGGGGGCCGGGGACTGGTGAGTGTCAGGATGAGACAAGGAACATCCACAGAATACATGGAAGATGGCCCCAACTGACCGAGTGCTCAGTGAATACCTCAGGCAGCAGAAACCCAAGAAAGGGAGGGAGACGAGGAACCATCATGGAAGGACAGGCCCCTGCACGGTATGTACCACTGGCAGATAGAGGTGGCTGATATCCAGAAATCCTACCAGTGGCTGGACAAAGCTGGACTGAAAGACAGCAAGGAAGCACTAATCATGGCAGCAAGGAACAAGCACTGAGCACAAGATCCATTGAGGCTGGGGTCTATCACACCAGGCAAGACCCCAGGTGCAGGCTGTGTAAAGATGCCCCAGAGACAATCCAGCACATAACAGCAGGGTGCAAGATGCTAGCAGGCAAGGCATACATGGAACGCCATAACCAAGTGGCCGGCATAGTGTACAGGAACATCTGTGCCGAGTATAACCTGGAAGTCCCGAGGTCAAAATGGGAGATGCCCCCAAGGGTGGTGGAGAATGACCGAGCTAAGATCCTGTGGGACTTCCAGATACAGACGGACAAAATGGTGGTGGCTAGACAAACAGAAGAAGACGGCCGTAGTGATCGATGTAGCGGTTCCGAATGACAGCAACATCAGGAAGAAGGAACACGAGAAGCTGGAGAAATACCAAGGGCTCAGAGAAGAGCTCGAGAAGATGTGGAGGGTGAAGGTAACGGTGGTCCCCGTGGTAATCGGAGCACTAGGTGCGGTGACTCCCAAGCTAGGCGAGTGGCTCCAGCAGATCCCGGGAACAACAGCGGAGATCTCTGTCCAGAAGAGCGCAGTCCTGGGAACAGCTAAGATACTGCGCAGGACCCTCAAGCTCCCAGGCCTCTGGTAGAGGACCCGAGCTTGAAGGATTGACCACCCACAAGGGCGAGTGGGGATTTATATATATAATGTTTCCTCTGAAAGTTGATATATTTTAACAGTAATTACCTGCCTTCCCTTAAGGAAGTATTTTCTCTAATTTAAGATCAGCTATATATCCATGCTACTTCTTAAGTGCATAGGAGACAGGAATCTAATTTAACCTTCTCCTTAGAAGTCTTTGACCTAAGTGAGGAAACTTTACTAACAGCTGGAGACTGTAGGTCTTGTTCTGCTCTGCACCCACAGTGAATCTGGCATTGAGGCACATGAATAGATTCTCCACCTGCCTCAGGTTCTGCTTGGGATAACGTTCTGGCTTGCAGAACAGAACTCCTGTTTCCAGCGGCACTCCCAAGACAGTGCAGTTGGACGCGTCCAACCGTGGACTGCGTCCAACCGTGGGAAGAGATCCTCTCTGAATCTCCGAGGAAGAAACTGAATAATCATCAAGAACCAAAACAACAACAACTACTTGGCCAGTGAGCCATCTGGTAAAGAAAAAGCAAGACAGATACGACCAGGGACAGCAAGGAAGCAGCAAATGATTTTTTTAAACATAGGAATGTGTGTGTGAGGGGTGCGGTTCTTCTGGAAAACTGACTCTGAATTATGGGTCTCTATAAAAACATGCCAAAATGAGTCACCAAATATCCTTAAGTGGCTCACCCATTAAAATCTACATATAGAGAAACTGTGGAAATGTTTTATCCTTCGAAATATCTTCCTGATCATGATAGGTACATAGCCGCCGACTAGTCTGACTGCGAAGCCGGCCACTCAACCAAGAGACAGTATACTGTTCCTCCTCTCTCCTCTGGACCTCGCCTGTGCTGTATCATATTCTCAAATATTAGATTTGGCCCCATTCAGGTTGTCAGTGAGCTCTGTGTGCAATAAAAGTAATAAACAGATGTTCTGCTGTTGTAATCTGAACAAATGTTTCACACCAATAAATATGTTTTTAATACTTTCCACCATACAAGTGCCGCTTCTGTCTTTTCATTGCCTCTACACTGGCTGCTACTCGTGTTGTTGCACCATTTAGATTTAGGCTTCTTATACAGTCACTTCCTTGAAGTACTCTGAAGCATTAGATCAATGTAAACAGAAGGAAAAACTGATTATAAGCAAGAGGAAATGATTCGAGGTTTCTAATTTCTCAGAATGGCACTGATGAATACTATACATTAACACTGGCAGGCAGCTTTTATCTAATCAAAATTACACCTCTGTCAGCAGCTGAGAAAATGGAAAGTGTAATTTTCTCTAAATTTAAGCATCAGATTTATTGGATTCAGCAACAGACTTACAGGATTATTATATACTTGTGCCTCTTAAAAAGGGAGGCCTCCCCGTAGACCCAAAAATCACCCAGTCACGCAGCAAAGGGATCAACATATTTTCTACTTAAGAGTCCATTTCCTGGAACACAGAGGCCTTACCAGTTTTATCTTCTCTTTCTTCCGCTTGCCGGGCGCCGACCCAGAGGAGCTGGGGCCCGACTCCTGGCCAACCGCGTTGCCGTCGTCGTCCACGTCCCCGTCGTCGTCGTCAAAGCACCATTCTGGCAGCTCGGGGGCAGGTGGTGCGCCCTCCCCGTCACCATAGCGACGGAAAAGCTCTTTGAGGTAGTCTCCCTTGTAGATCCCCGGGGCCCGAGCCTGGGCAAAAGCAGCCACCGCTGCCTCGATGCTGATAAGAACAAATAACAGAGACAGGACGTTTTTTTTAAAAAACCTTCAGACTAGTTTCAAGTTGACCAAACGATCATGAAAGTGGGTGAAAGATATGGGTATATAGATGATTTTCTGTACAATAAGTGGACCTTTTACATGGTGTAGAGGCACTATCTTTATACCAGGGTGTCTAAAGCAGAAGCTCCCATGAAACCGAAGGGAAACAAAAAGAATGAAATATTTAATTTGCTTTATTTTCCTTAATGTTATGATCATTTAGTGTCTCTTAACTTCTATCTACAACTAGACTTCAGTATGTGTGAGAGAGGGGTGGAGTAGAACAAGCATAAAAGAGAAGATAGTGAGCTGACTTTAACCAAGAACAAATGTTTCTAAACGAGTGTCTGTCTAAAACCCATGATGGAGGGACGCCAACCAACTGCCTTGACTCAGCAGCAGCAGCAGCAGCAGCAGCTGAACCACGCAACAAAAACCAGAGGCCACATCGTTTCAAAGGCAGGGATGGAGGAACACTTAAAAACAACAGTCACATTTGCAGAATAACACAAACTAAAAATAATTTAATGCAATAGAAAAAAAAAAAAGGAAAAAAAAAGCTGTATAGGAGATTATTGCTACCACTTTAAATGAAATGTCAAACCGCATTTGCAATAAGTCGAGACAAAAAAAGAAAATACACTTTTCTTGAAGTAAACATGTTTGTAAGCTCAAAACTTTGGCCTGTTTCAACAAAATATATTCAATCGTTTCAAGTTTGAAAGACCTTTCAACACAGAAAGAGCAGTTTGATTGTTAAACACTTCTACACGTGTTTAAACTGTTATTAGGCGTATGAAAACTCGTGCTCACCTTGTACTCACTTAAAACCATCAAAAATCTAAAAAGCATAAAGATATTTTTTACAAAAGCTTCTTACTTGCAGTTGAAAACTAGGGAAGCAGATATTCTAATGATCAAATTGTAATTGAATCCACTTTACAGGAGCATTTGCTGGTGTCAGGTTCTAAAAGGCGAGCTTAATCTATCTGATTCCGAGATTAAAGCTGTTAAATTTGCCACGTGACACAGTTAAATGTGAAATTTATTGAAGCAAGTAATAGTGACCTTGAAACACAATAAAGCAGGCTGTGTAATGCTTGGATTTGACAAAAACATCCATCTGTATATTACTGTATACTAGTATTCTATTGCACATATTGTAAATCTTATTCCCCTGTCTCTCTTGCTGCATTGAGCATGTGTATGACAAAGAATTTCCCTCGGGATAAATAAAGTTCTTATCTTATTCAATGCAGAAGCTTCAAATAGCTGAAAATTAAGCAGGTCTGATTCTGACCTGTGTGCCTAGACGGGAGGTTGAGGGACTGCATGCCAACTATTCTGACTAAAGGTGAAGGAGAGGCTTTTAACCTTTTTCCTTGTATGCTCAGGAACTGCCAGATTATTGTCTGTTCTCAAGAACAATCTCTGCTAGGAATAAAAATTTTAAGGTGACTGTGGAGGAAAAAAATCATTTTTTCTCATCTCAGAATTAAACCTGCTTTTACAAGAAATAAAACTGCATTATTTACCAGACAGTAGACATTCCTGCATAAAGTTATTATGTGCATTTAATCACAGAATAAGCATGCTAATACTGTACCATTTACTGTGCACTAAATATGCCATGTCATTTTCCCTTCGGATATAGTAATTTTTTCCCAGAGGAAAAAATAAATACATTTGAAGCCATTTAACGTTACGTGTGGTAATACGCATTAAAAAGGCCCATTGTTGTTACTTATCTTCCAACACGTAATAGTGGATGACAGCTGTAAATGTTCTCAGGATATTCATTTCACAGGAAGTAGTGGGCGGTGGGAGGGTGTTTATCCAGCCTCCATGTCTGCAGCTTCCAGGGATTCTGCTATCACAGACTGCTGCTCCACCTCTAACAAAAGATGCATCCTCACCCCTCCTGCTCAGCTGCTCTAAATTATTTATCTCGGCTGCTCGGTCACTCAAAACCAGCCAGCCTCTTTGTAAAGCTTTATTTAGACTGGTAGTGACAGAGTAACCTCTCTTGCAGTCACACACATGCTGAGAAGAAGATGGGAATATCAGCTTAAAAAATAAAAAATACTGATACGGCTGGGAGAGTGAAACCAGAGTAACACTGGTGGGTGCTCCATGTTGTAGGGTTTGTGTTGTCATGCAAGACGACTGAAGATTGTGAGACTGCCCTCCCAGCAGTGCAAGTGATTGAAGCGTGTCAGCCCTTACCTCCAGTCCATCTTCTCCACCAGGTACGCACATATCAGAAAGCCTGTCCGGTTGAAGCCATGCGTGCAGTGAACACCTTCAGGAGAGAGAGAGAAAAAAGAAATATGCAAACCTTTCAAAAAACTCCACCTCAAGTTTACATAATATATTGTTTTGCTGTTTTTCTGTCCCTATTGTTTTCACATAAATAATAGATTTACATTTATTTTTTAACAATGAATAGTGTTCTTATTTCCATTTCACGCAGCTTGCCAATTTATTGGATGTGTGTGCCGTCACCTCAATTTACGCTCAATCAATTCAACGTGGCAATTATGAACGAGACCCCCTTATTTCAACAAACGAGCCATTGGGCACAATTTCATCCAATGTAACATCTTTCACATCAATAAACCCAGCTCGCCTTTGAGATATACCGCGGCTGACTGGATGTTTTGAGGAGGGGCATCAAGTCGCACACAAAGGACTCACAGGCAGATCCTTTTCTCCTTAGAGGGGGGTCCTGCCTTTATACCTACATCAAAAAATCTGACACCAGCCATTGCACGCACAGAAAAGACCCAGGGTATTGATGAAACATTCAGGGATTGGAAAGAGCATGAGAAAAAACAAAAAAAACAAAAAAACAAAAAAACAAGGAGAGAAAATTCTGCTCTTTCAGAAGAAAAGATTCTGGAAAGGAAACCCTCCACAAAAGCACTCTGAAGATTGTAGTCATATCTCACAAAAACCCTCCTAATTTGTGACGAACTGACATTTATTCAGACAAGATCCCTTCAGCAGGTGCACAGCAGGATTAAAAAAAAAAAAAAATAATACATATAAAATGAAACCTGACTCGCATGTCTCCCAATATATTAGGATGTTTGTCTGGCAACGGCAGCGATAAAGAAATCACATTTAACAGACCAATTGTCTAATTTGGACGTGTGCACTGTGGAGAAAACAAAGCCTAATCACCAGCTGGCTAAAGGCAGGAGATTGCTGGGATGACATTCACACATTCTGCTCTGATGTTCGAGCAGTCTGATTTAAAAGTCGGGCAGCAGTTACAAGTTAAGAGCAAATCTGGACAGGATGAGGTGTAAGAGAGCACCCTGCTGCCAGTAGCATAAAAGTGCAGCGACGTTACCCCGTCTTCGGCCGGTAAGTACCCCCTAGGCTAACCTTCAGGCAAAGGACATTACAGACCAATACCACTACAATAGAAGGCGCTAACTTTTTTTTTTTTTAAATTCCCCACTAAAAACATTTACATGACAATTGAGGATATCATGTGTGCCACTAGAACACTCCAAAGACTTCAAATAAAGCAATGGGCAAACTATTTTTTATGTAAATGTAAAATGCAGCAAGGTGTTTCGGCACAACTATAAACACAGGCCTGATACCGATATGCATGCACTAAGCCATTATCAGCCAGTATCAGTGTAAGCCTAATTTAAAGGCGAAGCAAGGTGCTCCTTTCTTGTGCATGTGTTTAACCCATTAACTATTCCTATACTCAACTTGTAACTAAACCCATAATAACTTAATTTGTCACAACCTGCATTAGAAATTAGAATAGCTTGTTTTGAGCTCATAATAACAAGCTGAAGAGCTACAGAGAAAAATAATAATAATCTAGTTCGAGAAAAAAAAAAAAA